CGTGCTGGGACTGCCGGCGGCCTGTGCCTCCACACCCAGCTTAGTTCCTCTTTCCATAGGTGTTGAGATTAACATTTGTTTTCCCATGACAAACAATGGCAGTATAAATATTGTACATTTAGTAGTTTCCTGCAATCTAGCTTGTATGAGTGAGACCAATTCGTAAAAGTAAGTTACTAGATCATAAGACAAGTACATTTAAAATTGTGCTGTCTTTTTAAAAAACTATCCTTCTGAAAGATTGTATTGGTTTACACTCCTTTGAGACAGAAACATTCAAGTGAAATAGAGTAGGAAAGAGGCAAGTTCTCCCCAGCTGTTCTGCTTCACAGAGACAGCTGGTTTTTACAATTCGGGAGTGAGTGTCCATCTAGACTTCAGATTTCATAAGTCAGTGCATGTTATCATCTTACAAACAGGGGAGTGTCGTGTTCTGGCAGTTCCTTTTTGTAGCTGATAGTGCATTGTGGCTGTCTTTCCATTTCAATGCATTCAACAGCACAGTGTGCTCTCGCATTAAGGAGCTGTGGGAGGTTAGGGCAGGGGCCAGTGCCAGTTCCAGATGTTGCCCTAGCAGCTGTTCTTGCATACATGGGTCTGGAAGTGGAGATGCTCTTGTAGCAGGCACTGTGTATTAACGTGGGTAAACTTGTGTATCTGGGCCCCTCTCAGCTCTGTGGCACAGAAATCACTGGCTGGCCTGCAGCTGGGAGCTGGGACTGTGGCATTTGCCTGCACAAGTTCTGTGAGACTCAGAGAGGCACAGGACACAGGCCAGGATCAGACCCGCATGCTGAGCTGAAAGAGCTTTGGGAACCTTGGTGTTGCATCTTGATGCTTACCAGTTTTAGAGAACACAGTTCATATGAAGTTTTCAGTTTTTCAGTACTGGGGATCGAACCTTGGGCTTCACACTGAGCCATTTTTAATTTTGAGATAGGGCCTAAGTTGCCCAGGTTGGGCTTGAATTTGCAACCCTCCTGCCTCAGTTGCCCAGAGTGCTAGAATCACAGATCTGTACCCCACTTATTTATTTTAATTTAGTTTTAGATTGCTTACACATAAGAAAGACATGTTGTGTTTAATTTGCTGAATGAGACTGGCTCATTTTGCTCTACCAGATGGTCTACACTTCTGTCCCTTTTCCTGCAAAGACCCAATCCCATTCTTGTTTGTGACTTAGTACTCTTTTTTTGTGTGTGGACCACATTTTCCTCATCCATTCATCTGTTGATGGGCAGGTAAGCTGTTTGCACAGTTTAGCTACTGTGAGTTGTGCTGCTATACAGAACATGGGTTTGCAGGCATCGCTATAGTATGCTGCCTTTAATTCTTTCAGGAATACAGTATATTAGCTGGGTCAAATGGTAGCTTTAGTTTTAGTTTTGTGAGGAATCTCCACACTGATTTCCATAGTGGATTTACCTTTCTACCAGCAGTGTGGAAGGGCTCTTGCTCCCCCATTCCTTACCAGCATTTTTTCTTTTTTTTCCCTTCCTCCCTTCTTCGCTTCTTCCCTTCCTTCCTTCCTTCCTTCCTTTGATAGCCCAGGTTGGCCTTACACTGGTGGTGATAGTTCTGCCCCAGCCTCCTTCAGCAAAGCTGGGATTGAGCAAGCGTGGTGGCTAATTCTGTGTTCTTGATGACAACCTTTCTGGGCCGTGAGATGGAATCTCCTGTACTTTTGGTTTGCATTTCCCTAATGGCTACTGGGGCCTATGCCTATTCTGGAAACCTTGGCCCATGCCTATGGCTTCCAGTGTTTCCCCTGTGCTTTCTTCTAGCAGTTTCAAAGTTTTAAGTCTTATCTTTACTTCTGTGATCCATTTTGATTTGATGTTAGCGCTGGAAGAGAAAGATAAAGATCTCTTCAATCTTCTGCATGCTGATAGCCAGTTTTCCCAGAACCATTTGTCAAAGAGGGCACCTGTTCTCCAGCTTATGCTTTTGGCTGCTTTGTTAATAATCACATGCTGTGGGGTTGTACGGGTTTGTTTCTGTGCCGGGACTATGCTTTGTTTTTTTTTAATCACTGTGGTTTTGTACTATAATTTGAGATCCTGTAGTGTAATGGCTCCAGCTTTTCTTTTCTTTTTTTTTTTGGCTTTTTGAGACAAGGTCTGACCATGTAAATGAGATTAGTCTTGAATTCACTATAGCCCAGGGTGGCCTCAAACTCACCATGCCACTCCAGTTCTGTTGTTTTGCTTAGAACTGCTTTGACTATTCTTGGTCTTTTGTGTTTCTGTATGAGTTTTGTTTTGTTTTTGGATTTTTGAGACAAGGTTTCCACTATGTAATTCAGGTTGGTCTTGAACTCATTATGTAGCCCAGGCTGGCCTGGAACTCATAATGGTCTTCCTGTGTTAGTCTCCTGACTGCAGGGACTACATATGTGTGCCACTTTGCCTAACTTTATTTCCATATGAATTTTAGGGTTTACTTTTCTACTTCTGTTAAGAATGGTGCTGGTATTTTAGGATCTCACTGAATCTATGGATTGCTGTTTTGGCAGTAGAGTCATTTAGACAATATTAATTCTGGCCACGCATGGTGGTGCAGCTCTCAGGAGGCTGAAATAGGAGGATCCCCATGAGTTCAAGGCCAGACTCAGGTACGTAGCGAGTTCAAGGCCAACCTGAACTACGTAAAGAGACCCAGTCTTAAAAAAAAACTAAACAAAATGAACCAATATTAATTTCGATGCATGAACAAGGAAGGTCTTTGCATTCCCTAATGCTTTCAGTTTCTTTTGTCAGTGTTCTATAATTTTCATTAAAGAGGTCTTTCACCTTTTGAGTTAGGT